AATAGGACCTGGCTAATTATTTGCTCAATAAACTATACTTACCATTCTTTCGCAAAATCTGAATTGAATCAATAGGGTGACGACCTTCTGAGAGCTAGAAGTTCATATGAATCTATTTTTGGGATGGCTGTTATTCTTGTCTTATATTCCTCAATGTAGTAAGCATGTGGTTAGTATTGTAACTGGGAGATCTTGGAATTTTAGAAATTGTAGCTATCAAGTATTAAAAAAATTGTCTGTGTGTTTTCAGGGACCTGCTGTGGGTCTGAGAGTCTGGGTATTATTGTAAGTTTAAAAGACATCTACTTGGTTCCATGTGTGATATCTAATGATAAAATAATGAAAATATGGAGTGTGTGAAATGAAAAAACACATTTGGACAAGGAAGAATAACACAATAAATATAATTGAGACAATAGCCTGAGGGTTATGAATAAGAAAAGAGCAGTGAGTTAGAAAATTTTAGTGTTCCATTGGCTGAGCCTTAGAGACTATCTCTCTAGGACTTGCTCTCTGTAGTCTATCATGGACACTCGGATGATTCTTTAGAAGGGCCTAAAGAGCTGTCCCAACCTGTTTCCTCTTAATCTGAGATTAGGGAGTGGGTTGGAATTTGTTATATATTTAAGCCCTACTAGCTCTTGCCATACTACTACATGGCAATGCAGCTCCATCTAAGATTAGTGAGTCCTATCAGTGAGGACATAGTCTCAGATTTTACCTACATGCTTTATGTCTTTACCTTTCAGAGCTGTTGGCTCTTCATTGTTGTTTGCCTTTCTACTCTACCCACACCCCCCATCCCTTAGTTGAAAACAATGCCTTTGATGCAGTTTTAAAATTGAATACTCTATGATATAAAATGCCTAATACATTTTTTACTAATCTTTTCAAAATATTTTAATGGTAGTTCATTATAATAAGCTACAGAAATGACACAGATTCAACTTTCTTTTCCTCTTAGACTGATGTTACCTACAAGTTTTTGTTTTCTTGTATAATATTAAAAGGATCAGTCTTAATATTATACTTCCCAGGGGCTCAGGAGAGAAAACTATGAACAGTGAGAATTATTTTCAGGAAATGAATCTAAGTACACCAAGCTCTTTGTCCGTCTACTTTATTCCTCTGAGATAAAATCCTATCTACACAGCTTCAGTTCTGTTTTCGTGCCCAGCTCCTTTCTTGCCTGATTTCTCTCTACCTTTATCTACTGTTCCCTCTAAGTTCTGTCTTAATTCTCTCGTCTTAATTCTGCCTCATCTAGGTCATTCTCATCTCATTCTTACCCATCTAGTACTTCCCCATCTGGCTCTTCCTCATCTTCCATCTCATTCACATGTTCCCTCTGGTCAGAATCCTCCTTATCCCTCTCAGTTCTCCATCCTCAAGTTCACTACTCCTCTCTTCCTCTCTGTCTCCTTATACCTCTAAGACCTCCCAAGTCTCTGAGGTGTTCAATCATAAACCCAAGCAACAGCATCCCCACCAGAGCAAGGTCACCAGGCTTAAATTCTTATGGGGTCATAAAGGTAGGTAAGAATTTTCCTCAGGCAGTGACCGTCAGGCTTTCTTTTACAATCCAAAATGGGAGGGTAAAAGAGGAGGTCAACTGAGTGCTAATGACCGGTTAGTATATCAAAAAGGGGATCTATGTGCTTAATCTACATTCCAAAAGTGATTAGGTAAGAAGTTAGGGGTCTATAAGTAAGTAAGGTTATATAAGAAAGGAGGGTCTCACCCTAAACAGCACAAGAAATAAAGCTAACTGCCTGACCTAGGAGACAGGTGTTGTTTGTTTGACCTTGGATGCTTGATAGGTATTTTAGATAAATTCACTGTTAGGAGTTCTGGTTTTTTTGAGACAAGGTTTCTCTGTGTAGCTTTGCGCCTTTCCTGGATCTTGCTCTGTAGACCCAGGCTGGCCTTGAACTCACAAAGATCCGCCTGCCTCTGCCTCCCAAGTGCTGGGATTAAAGGTGTGCACCACCACCGCCCAGCCCACTGTTAGGAGTTCTAAGAAGCATGCATGGCATTACAAGAAAATCACTGTAGGAACCAGCTAACATACATACAAAAGTTAAAATATCACCAAGACTTCTTAAGCCATGGTTTGACCTTTGGAAAAGTCCTTGACTTTTCCAAGTAGTAGCTTTTGTGGTAGTAGCTGAATTCCATTATGTTTTCCTTTGGTTTGCAGCATTATTTGTTCAAACATACAGGCTCATGCTATCCAACTTCTCATCCTAAATTTAAGTTTACCATTTTCAAACCTCACAAGGCTTCATAGTATAAGTATTAGTCAACATAGTTACAAAGTTACAAAGACCTTTATGCTTATAACTTGCAAATTTAATAAATCAAATCTAGAGGATTCATCTTTCCTGCTAGGTATTTTATGAGCCTGGCTACACTGTGAATTTTTCCTACTATTTTCATAAATGTTACCTCTGAGCTCACGTGGTTCTACTGCAGGCAGCAGTTGGACCAAATGTTTTGTCTTCATATAACACGGATCAATAGCCTCCTGCTTGGCAATTGATAGGACTTGGCCTCTCAAGGTCTTTCTGCTTCCATACTTGGTAAAATCAATATTTCCCCTTTTGTTTTCTGAAACTCTTTTTTTCAAGCAGCAATCCTGAATATTTTTAAAACACTGTTTGGCTACAATGACTGTTAGTGGTCCTATAGAAACGCCACCTCAATTTTTTAACTTTCCCCCATATTTTGCTTAATAGCAATCCTGTGATGCTTATTAAAAGACAGGTTTTTCCACTTGCCTGATTGCTTATCCTGTAAGAAATAATATGCCATCCATATTCTTACACATTGCATTGACATCCATGTGGAAGATGTAGGAACGAAAGCAAAGAGGCTGGTTTGTTGGGTGTTTTGAAAAGGCTTTCCCAGCCAGTGACATCCCAACCTGCTGAAGTCTGCTCACATTTCTCAGTGGCAGTTCTCACATTCTCTCTCCTTTTAAAGCAACGAAAGAAGAGCGGTTTCTTACTTCTTGACAGTGTAGATCAGGAACTAAGGGCAAACTCAGCTGTGACTTTTGCAAATTGTGGCTTTTGTGTAAAGTCTCACCACACCTACCTCAATGTTTAAGATTTGCTTGATCAGATTAGGAACTAACTTCTGTGTTATTCACATTATGCCAAGTTATTTATGTTTGCAGTTGCAAGGATTTTCTAGTAAAAATCATTATACTTTGAGCGCCCAGTCTCTGTCTTTTCAATTTTCTTAGCCCCAAAGTTGGGTAATTGTTTTATATTCTAAATGTCATTCTAGTCAATATAAACGTATCAGTATAAAGTGATGGATATTTTTAATAGAAAATCCAAAATCTATCCCTTTATTCTTTTAGAGCAACTTGTCAGATCACAACTCTCAATAGATACCAGACTAACAGGGTCTAACAAACAAAACAAAAACACAGGAGACAGATTTTTGCTGAAGACCTGTGCTGGTTTGAATCATAAGAGAGCATCAACTCAGGGATTGTCGAACTCAGGTTGGCCTGTAGGCAAGATGGTGAGGGATTGCTTCCATTGTTCATTAATATAGAAAGACAGCCCCTGGTGGGCAGCAGCATTTCCCTGTCAGGGGTGCCTGAACTTCACAGGATAGGGGAAAGCAGCTACCATGAGGGCAGGCATCCATTTCTCTGTGCTCTGGACTCTGGAATTCCTCCCTTTACCTCTCTTCAAAGATGTCCTGGACCTAAAAGCCAAATGAACTGTTTCTCCTACTATGTTGTTTATGGGCAGGGTGTCGGATCACAGCAACGGAATTAAAACTACACGGACAACCTAAAGGGGAATTATATATAACTTAATTAAAATAATTTCTATGGTTTGAGATGTTTGTAATCACATGTAAACAAATCTAAGTTATATATTCTCCTCAAGGTAAAGATGAATTAGCTTCTGTCAAAGATGTGTGTACAGAGTAGTTTTGAACGTTTATACCATAGTCCATAGAGACCCATGGTTATGTAAAACTCTTCTCACTTTATAGTAAGGTTAAAAAAAAGCCACCTAACTGGATTTCTCTAAAATGATGATTTTCCGTTTTCTTAGAGCCTTAACTAAGAAAAATTCATTTGAAAAAATTTGACCCTTTTCAGGTTAAGTGAATGTGAGTGCAACTTGTACTCTCCTGGGAGCTGCTACTTCTTGGCAAAGGTCCTTGCTCAGGCATGTTATGAATGTGCCCTTTGTAATCTATGAGGTCCATCATTACAGAAGAGATAGAAGGAGGTTAGGTGAGGCCTGACACCAACAAAGCGCAGCCGGGAACATCACTGTGATGGTTGTGCGGTCCGCCAGTCTGGTGAGGCTGCATCACCGGCTCCGCAAGTCCGTCTTCCTTTCTTGTCTATATTTCTCTCTACTGAGAACAGATGAATCTTCTCTCAAGAGCACTAGATTTTAAGACCTTTCACACCTATACAACATCAAGGGAGATAAAAGAAAGTAAAGGAATCTTGGGTTTGCTGAATATACAATGGCAGAAGAAAAATTAATTTCCTAAACAATAATAGAATTTGAAAAAATTCAACTTAAGTTAGAATTCATGGAAATGTTTTTTGTATATGTTGGATCATATTTCTAACATGAGAATAGATTAAGTTTCTTTTTAACTTACTAGAAAACTGAATTTGGGGAACACATTATGATTTCTTTCAAGGGTATTTTTTCCCATAAATTAAGGCTATTGATTCCTAGATGTTTTCTACCCCAGTGGAGGACATCTTAAACCAGAGTGGTGGTTTGAATAGGAATGGCCCCCAAAGGCACATCTATTTGAATGCTTGGTCATTAAGGAGTGGTGGGAAAAAAAAATACTTGAGAAAAATTAGGAGGTGTGGCCTTGTTGGAGTAGGTGTGACCATGCAGGAAGAATTGTGTCACTGAGGGGCCCCCAGGGAATCGGTGTTTCAAATACTCAACCCAGGCCCAATGTCTCTCTCTTCCTGCTGCCTGTGCATCCAGATGTAGAACTCTCAGCTGTTCTCCAGCATCATGTCTGCCTGAACATTGCCATGCTTCCTGCCATGACAATACTGGACTAAACCTCTGAAACTGTAAGCCATTTAAATGAGTTTTTTTTTTTTTTATAAGCGTTGCTATGGTCATGGTGTACCTTCATAGTAACAGAATACTGACTGAGTCATGGGGCTTATTTTACTTATGCATACCTTCTAATTGCTGAATTATTCTTGTCAGGTTGAAGCTTCCTTGTATCTAGATTCTTCTAATAGTATGTTTTATGTAAAAAATGTGTGTTGTGCTACAAAGTTTATACATAAGAAACCGATTTGCTGCTATTTAAGCCTGTAAAACATTTCCTGTAAATTATTTTCTTTCTTTCTTTCTTTCTTTCTTTCTTTCTTTCTTTCTTTCTTTCTTTCTTTATTTATTTATTTATTACTTTTTATTTTTGTGGCAGGGGTTCTCTGTGTAGCCTTGGCTGTCCTAGAACTTACTCTGTAGAACAGACTGACATTGAACTCAAAGAGATCTGCCTGCCTCTGCCTCCCTAGGGCTAGGATTAAAGGCGCGCACCACCATCAACAGCCTATTTTTTTTTTTTTGATGTACAGTTTCTTAATGTAAAATTTTAAAATATTTGTTGTGGTCCACTCTGTAAACGTTCTTATGCTTTTTTCCTAATTCTTGTTTACATGAAAGAAACTTCCATTCTACTGTGTAGCCATTAAGCCAGCTTCAGGGTGTCTGGCTTTTCTGTAATTGCTTTTTCAAATTTTGTTACTATTCTAAATAACTATTAGAATCATGTTTTTTTTAAAAATCCTACTTCAAATAAATTCTCCTGTTTACAAAAAGAAGAAGAGGAAGCAGAAGAAGAGAAGGAGGAGGAGGAAGAAGAGGAGGAGGAGGAACAGGAGGAAGAGGAGGAGCAGGAGGAGAATCAAAAAATTAACAACTATTGAATTTAATCTATTATCACTGAAATGATTATATGGCCACCCTCTTGTGTTGCTGACATTAACATCTGTGAGTTTTGTTGTGAATTTTATGTGTAGATATGCAAGGCTTGTTTGATGACTTAGGCTGTTGTGAGAAATGGACCGCCTTACATTATGACTCTCTGCAGTCTGCTGTTAGAAACATCTGATGAGGTAGGTGCTCTTCCATCTTATGTCTGTCCAAGGAGGGGAATAGTGAGTTAGGACTTAACCTTAGGCTCTAACCCCGTTATTGTAATATGACAGACATGCATATTTATTTCCTTGAATATTTTCCTCTTATTTCCCACTGCTGCTGCTGATGACTTACAAGCACAGAAAGTCACTGTCAGTTATCTGTAAACATCCCAGACTCCCCTACTTTTTATAATATTGACCAAATGTGTTCCAATTCTCAATTATACTGCAATCTGTGCAACATGCTACAGACCTACAAATAATTTATTGAAAATTTGTCATTTATGTTACAGCAAATTATATGTCTGTTATTTTGACTTTCATTAATGAGCACCAAATCATTATAATATCATTAATGTTAAACTACTTGAACAAAATCAACATTCTGTCTTGATATTGCTTATTTTTCCCCATTTTAGTAATATACAAGTGAGTTTCCTGAAATCAAAGGAAAATCCCTAGAAATTAATTGTGAAATCATACAGTAATCAAATGCCATAATCAAAATTTCTTTGAAGTATAGTAATTATAAGTAAATGTAGCTTTAAGAAACATGTTCTAAAAAAAAAAACCCACATTCTTTGCCAAGAGGATAAAATTCAAGTTTTTTACAAAACAGTTTCAGACTATTCTGATTTCCAGAGATGACCAAATATTATTTCATGGTGTACTTTATTGCAATACACACAATAACAGTTTTGAGGGCTGAAGGAAAAAGTGAGTGAGGCTAAATCATTAGCTAACACCCATGGAGGGATAATATATGTCTTAATATTTACATTTTTCATTCTTGAAAATGGCTGGTGTGGAAGCAGCTTAATTCTTTTTGCCATTACACCTTAATGTTTAAAACCAAATAGAGATAAATGTGTCCCAGTTGGGAAACAGTGGAGAGGTCTCAAGTTACAAACACAACAGTTTTAATGTGAACTGCATTCTGTGTACTGAGCATCAGGTTCTGTGGCCGTTGTTGGAGATGTGGAGGTAGAGATGGCTTGATCTCTGCCTTCCTTGCACTCAGGTGAGAGAGGCACACTGGGCCATCAGTAGAAACACATACAGTAGATACACTGAATGAACCTCTTCGCAGGATTCCTTAGTGGTCTAGGAAGTTCCAAAAAGACCTACTTGAGGGATGAGTCATATTTCTTTTTAATTTTTTGTTCATCATTCCATATCTGAATGCCATATGCTTGCTGAGGTGGTATCCTGTATGGAAAGAAGGGGCTTGAGAGAGTGGTCAGGAGTCTTGAGGTTAGCCTGGCTTATGCTGTCCTCACAGGCAGGCCTCAGAGTCAGAGGAACAGAATCCTATCTGTATCACGCTGAGTCTGTACTTTCCATGAATAATGTTGCTGATACAGAAAGCAGCAACAACGATCCAAGGCATGGGAGCCCAGGAGAGCCTCGGGTATTGAAGAGACTTCAGCTGTGTTAGCACTGCTGGACTGCAAAATGTGGGGAGCTGGGAAGATGATGTCACTGTCCCAGCAGCAAGGACTGAAGGAAGCTCATGGGACAACACAAAGTTGCAGTGTTGATACGAATTTTGACCTTTAATGGGGAGGTGGGGGACTATTGACATAACATCAATCTAAGAGAATGATCTCCTCTCTGGGGGATAGCAAAAGATAAATGAGACAAAGAAGAAAGAGGCTGTTTCACATAGTAAAACATTGCTCTGTATTCTGACTTAAAAATGAACTTTGAAAAGAGGGTATTTCAGGAATTGAAGAATGATTAGAAGGGCTGATAAAAGAGTGAGGGGGCTAATCAGAATTTCCATCTGTTGTTGGTGCTGTTGTTTTTTATTTTTCCCTTGGGTGTCAATGACTGCTTTCTGACTGAGTGAAAATGGAAGGGCAGGTTGAGAGAACATTCTAGATGACTTCTTAACCAGTTTGAATGTCTGAATACACAGGTAGATTTAGATAGCAAACGTTCCTTCAGAAGTGCAGAAAGGAGGCAAGAGCTGAGGCTCGCACTGTCATGGTGCTGTTGAAGGCTCAGGCATTGTGGAGACAGCTTAAATAATAAAGGAGACAACAACAACCAGAACCCACTGCAAAATGAAAGATTAAAATATAACTAAATCTCAGATGCATTGGCGCTCATCTGCTTGCTTAGTACTAGTGACATAGGTAGCTGTTTCTCCTGGAGAAAGCAAGTGCCGAGGAGTCCACTGCGGTAAGCACCGCGTGCAGAAAGTCGGAAGATACTTTTCTCTGGTTGTTATTTTATACAAGGCATTTGATGACTCTAAAGAAATGGAAAGTGAAAGACATTCCTTAAACACCTCACAGAACTTTCAATTATGTGTAGGTGGAGATGGGATTTACTTGGTTTTCCCCCTTTTCAGTGGTGCTTAATAAATGAAATCAGCTGCCATAACTATGTTTGACATCAGCTACAGAGCACAGCAAATTGCTGGAACATTTTTAGAGATGAGAAGAAATAAAGAGCTACTACAGAAACATATCAGCATTTATTTGAATTATGGTACTGGTGGGGATGGAAGGACACTTTACGAGAAGAAAGAAGTAAAATATAGTACTGATCTAAATTTTAAACACTCTGTTTCTACTCAATTGAATTTTGGGTTTTCAGGGCTGATAGACAAGCAATGGTTTAGAAAATAGAGCAAGTTCGAGAAAGGAGATTTTTATTTTAAACAAAGTTACTCAAGAGCTAACTTTATTTTTGCCTTGTCTCCAGAGACTGAAAGATCAGACATCAGAAAATGAGTCAGAACCATAATAAGGTAATTTTAGAGATACAAATAAGAACAGAACAACCTCTCAAACACTTCTGAGTACCTAGTTTTGCTCAGAATCTCCTTGTTTGGCAGTATCCCAAACAGCATCACTTCTTACCTTGCTCTCTGCTAGTATTCTTGGTTCTTTCTTGTCCTGGATTTCTCTAAAGCCTGTCAGTCAGACTCTCAACTGTTCTTTTTACGTAGAGCAGCATTTCAGAGCCATTTCATCAGAGCAAATGTGACTCCTGTAGACTGAGCTTCACTGTGCTAAGTTTAGAGCTGAAGAACAGAACCCAGACGCTTCAACTTTGCCCCAAGACTTGAGACCAACACCTCATGAGTAAACCCTGAAAGGGCAATGATAATTAAGGCCACATAATCCCTCCCCTTGCTCCTGCCTCCTAAGGAGTAAAGCTGGTCCTGCTTCTATAAGGAGGCTACTGCTGAGAACAGTAGACGGCACAGTGGATGCATAACCCAAATCAAATTCCAAAAATCCTCAAGAATCCGAGGACTCCAATATAAATTGTAGCAAGACAAGGAAAACTTCTGAATGTCAGGAGAATTGAAGTCAAAGAGTGGCTGAAAAGAAATGCCATGTACAAGTGGATCCAAGGAAAGACTTTAAGAATGATACAATGCAATTTAAGGGATCAATCTATGATTATGAAAATATAATCTATTACATTTGGATTTCTTCATGCATTTGGACCAGCTCTGACTCTTCAACTGAGAAAACTAAGACCTTGAGAAGTGGGCTTAGAGGTTAAGAGTGAATAATGTTCTTGCAGATGATCAGGGTTTAGTCACCAGTACCCACTTCAAGGACTCACAATGGCCTGTTACTATAGTTCCAGGAGATCCAACACCATCTTTGGGTCTCTACTGCATCCACATACACAGAATGACACACATACACATAAATACAAATAAAATAATGTTATAATAAAACTATGTTATAAACTAAACATAACTATAACCACAAATACAACTAAAACTGTGTTAAAAGATAAAGACTTAAAATGTTAAATGAAAGAAGCACCATAAGAGATTCTGCCTCTCTCTCTCTCTCTCTCTCTCTCTCTCTCTCTCTCTCTCTCTGTCTCTCTCTCTCTCGGATTTCTCTGTGTAACAGTCCTAGCCATCTTAGAACTCACTC